AATCATAATTAATCTTTTAAAAATAATGGATGAGTCAGAGATTAAAACGATGTTTTATTATGGTTCCGCTTGATCCCTGTATTAGCTATAGAATGCAAGTTGACTAATACGTAGGACAATAAATCAGGTTTTGTACCTTCTATCTATGACATCTTTTGGCTGTAGTTTTTTTATGCCGAACTTTAACAAATGAACTGAAGTAAAACAACAAAACTTTGGGTAAATATTGGAGTGTTTGTTGACAGATAAGAAATCGATCTAGCTAGACCTGGATCCTATAGATCTACACCCCGCAGACAGACTACAGACTAAGTCGCTGTAGAGCTGGGTCGGGCTAGGGCTGTTAATCAGTATGAAAGTATTAATTGTGTAAATTCAATTTAATAAGAAATGTAATTAAAAGCTGATTGGTGAAAAGTTTTTCTTCGATTATATTCGGGTTAAAAAAATATTAAGTTATTTTAGTTGTTCCGTAACCACCACCAAATAAATCATATTTTCGCAAGTAAAGAATGTGAAAGGTGACAGCCGGACTTTGCATACGAATTTCGCTGGGCGCGCCCTTCCGTTGTGCTTTGTCTTGGGACTGGTTCATTAATATGTTGCCACTAAACTCATGTTTTGCGAGTGGTCCGTGACACGCCGTGGTCATCTTATGCTCAATGATATGGAGGTGCAGCCAGGGCCATAAAAGGGCGGTTTTAATACCGACATTACTTTTGACACTGATTACATAAGTCTCATATAAACACTTTACATAGGATTTCACCGTTCGTGCCTTCAATGGTTTCGTACGTATCTTTAGTAAAATTGACAGAATATCGCCCGCACACGTGCATGTTTATGGCGGTATTTCGGCGCCATAACGGCCATGTGCAAGACCATAAAGCAATGATGACGCTTTTCCCTTACGGAAACTTGAACTTCTTTGACGACACTTTTCATTTTAACTTTCGAGTTGATATTCTCCTTGTGTTACGAAGCAGATAATTTTCATTATTTTTCACTCTACAATGGAAACTTCCATGCCAAGATTTTAGAAAATATTTTGGTTGGAGGATTTGCATTATTTATGCACAGGCATACTTTCCCACACATTATAATGTTGCATCGGCTTTTAATGGGACTATTTCTAATATTTATGTCCATTTAAAATATTTTGCATGGAAATGTATGCAAACCTGACGATCCCTGCGAAATGTTAAATTCTTTTCAATAATGTTGCCATCCGAAAGTACTAATTTATATTCACTTTGATATAATGTCCATTCGTTTGATCGCATTATAGCAAATTAAACGAACAAAACAAAATGAAACTTTATCCGTATGGATACTTTTTATCAACTTTTACTTTCAAGTTCTAGTTTTTGAAAGTGAAAACGAGGTATTTATTGTTAGTAAAAGTATAATTTAATTGGAATAATTATGATACAATTAAAACTAAGAGTAGTTTTAATTAATTCACCTAGTTTTTACCGTGAGATGAATCCACCGATAAATATAGCTATCTTGCTTTTATCTACGAGCATTTCACTACATAATTTGCTAAGATAATTAGATAAACATTATCCTACTCCATTAACGGTCATTCTGATTTCTGGTTGCGGGATTTGCGGAAATATCATGTTCAATGGTCAAACAAAGGGAAAATTTAACAAATGAAGAACATCATCCTTTTTCGAAGTCGGTAAAAATAGGAAAGTCGTAGGGAACAATTTTAAATAGGTATTTAATGCCGGTAAAAATCTGATCATTAAAATGGCTAACATCAAAAAGTAACGTTTAATGCTCGTAGTATAACATTTCCCAGTTCATAAACTGGTAATGATAATCGCAAATAAAGGGTTTTAATTTTTATTATAATTTCATTCGTCAATTTAAAAATAATATTTTGCAACAATTATATTTAAAAAATTTTATAAAAAAATAAAACCGACTCCAAAAAACCTACACTAAAACGTAGAAAAATAATTACTAATTACCTACTTATTTATTAGGACGAATTATTAATATTTATGTAGGTATACCATGATTGATACTTCTGGAGTCGGTGCCAAGATTATGAAACATGTAAAGTTTGCATGCACCGACTCCAAAAGTATCAATCATGGTATACCTACATAAATATTAATAATTCGTCCTAATAAATAAGTAGGTAATTAGTAATTATTTTTCTACGTTTTAGTGTAGGTTTTTTGGAGTCGGTTTTATTTTTTTATAAAATTTTTTAAATATAATTGTTGCAAAATATTATTTTTAAATTGACGAATGAAATTATAATAAAAATTAAAACCCTTTATTTGCGATTATCATTACCAGTTTATGAACTGGGAAATGTTATACTACGAGCNCAAATTGGTTTATAATCGGCGGAGATATTGCGTATAAAAAAGTTCATCCCCAATTTTCCACCCTTGGGGGTTGTTTTTTTTATTATTAAATTTAAATGGGACCACCCTTGAGGTATTACCTATACGCCGAAAAAAGATTTGTTCAAATCGGTTCATAATTGACGGAGTTATCGCGTAACAAACATAGAAAAAAAAAAAAAAAAAAACATACGGGTCGAATTGAGAACCTCCTCCTTTTTTGAAGTCGGTTGAAAAGAAACACTGCATTAGCACCAATGATTTTAGAAAATCATTGGACATTTCAGTCGAACATTATATTATTTGAAAACTTAATTTTTTACTAAAATATTTTTTGAGAAATTTAATTTATTGGTATCTTTTCCAATTTTCTCTCTTCTAGGAAGCTAGTACTAAGTATTAATTTGATAAAGTCATAAACAATTGGGTTTCACCGCATCGCTGTCTGTCACTAAAAAGAAATTGTTGCGGTTTATTGTTAGCCCGGAAATGATAGAATCCATTTTAAATATGTCAGGTGTTAGAAAATAAGCATTGACTTATTTTTTTCCAAATATTATATGAATACAAAGAGATGGACGTAATTCGTTTCAAACGTTTAGTGCACTTCCTCAACTTGATGAATCTTTTAAGTGACTTAATAAACGCGACTCGTTGACGTCTTGTAAGTTTCTTCGTGATTTGGACTAACAATTAAACATTAATTGCCGTTTTAATTAATATAAAATATACTAAGATAGTTGATTAATTTTCAGTGCATTTTCTCTTGTTTTTTCAGTATTTTCTGTAATGTGAGAGTGTAAGTGTGAAGTAAATCTGTTTTGTAGTAAGACACTGCTTTATTTAATTTAACTTATGATCATAATAGATTTGATAAAACATAATTGATAAAAAACCTCCATGTTTAGTTTTTGACTAGCTTATAAACAGTGCATTTAAAGTAACATAAATTCAGTTTAGGAAGCAAGGTAGGTAGTGTATGCGACATATCATAAATAGCATGTCCTGAGTCCGGAATAGAATCAAAAGAAAAATAGTACAGTGCATAACAATAAATAAATTAACTGGTGATGTCCACATGCGTATACCTATAAATCGACCGCCCATTGGTCATTAGGTTTCACTTGTAGAGCACGCATGCTATTGCGTCACGCGCTGCCGCTACGTCTACTACGCATCGAGCCAGATTTGTTAATGAATATCTTAATTCATTTAAAACAATCTAAACAGACTTAAAATATTCACGTAATCAACACGATAGTATGACTTGGTGACAGTTTATTTATATTTCGTTCATTTAAATGAGTAATTAACTGTTTGAATTGGGAAAAATGGATAATATTTTGACGAAGTAACACCAAGTTTCAGGGATATTTCTTACACTGAAAAAAATGTTTGGTTACTGCTTACACAACAAAAGTGACCACCGAACTAAGTGTTAACTATAACCAAACTAAGTCTAGCTCACTACAGAATTATTTGTATAATTTACCTACACAACATTTTGTTCCTCATAACCAAAGTGTTCTGTGGTCACTTTTGTTGTGTAAGCAGTAACCAAACATTTTTTTCAGTGTATGTTTCCAAGGTTCTGACAGGATAACATTCGATTACGAGGTAGAGATCGCTAAGACACGTTTACAAGTTGACGTACAGTTTCTGTTTGCGACTTCATGAAGACAAAATCTATAAACCAGTGCTTAAAAAGTACGTCATATTGACTAGAGTAGAGATTACTTGACAATGCGATCAAACGGGAGTGCATTGCGGTGGAAAGAACAGGGAAAGAAGGCTTTTAAAAAAGAAACACGCATATTCTATCGAATGCTTAGTTAGTAACTCTGTCCTAGCGATGACAGTGCTTATGTTAGCATTTCTTCGCCAACATAAAGCTAAAAGTAATTGCGTAAGAGCGGTTGGACACGGAAACGTAAAATAAAAGTTGACGCGATTCAGGTCACTGTCCGACTCTCTGCAACTTTGCTTTAAAAAATATTCGAACTATTTTTAACTAATAACAACTAATTATAATTATTGTCAGAAATATTAAAAAAATAAATTTGTCGCCTCCTTTCAACTTTCAACAGTATCCAAACATAATATTAAAATACGAATGTAACTAGCTCGGTCTGTCTGTTACGATGAACCTAAACTAATTTCAATTAACGTAATTTTTAGTAAACAAGTAGAAGGGATCTATAAAAAGAACATAGGTAAGTTTAAGTAGTTTAATTTGTAATTAAATCTCAAAAATAATAAAAGTTGGATATGAATGTTTTCATTGCTTATTGAATGGATGAAAATATTTATAACATATTTGTATGCTTTTGATAAAATAAAATATCAGCAGCAGAAACGACTTTGTAACAAATGTGAAATATATTTAAGAAATCTAAAACAAACATTAGCAAAACTGCCGGCAAGATTGTTCAGTGGGTTTCATGTTCCGCTCTACATGCGCTCTCAGGCTGCGCAGTCAGTCGGGCGCGCTCAGATGACGAGGAGATAAAACAATCGAACCCAGGCTCGATACGCAGTGATCTCCAACCTCGGTTCAAAGTTCAGCAATAAGGATCTCTCCAAGAGAGCGAGAAACGAAATCCCCTGCCCTCCCATCGGCGCGTTGCACAACGGCGCGCGCGCGCTCTCTCCAGCACAGTCGCACCTGACGCGCCAAGCAACGCGCACAACAACATCAACAAGTGTTACAAACTTGCGAAAAGAATCGCGTTCGAATTTGACAATTTGGACCAGCGAGTTCCCAGTGTTTTGTGCTTGTGGACCGAGTGAGTGTGTGAAGGAAAGTGATTCCAGAGTATGCGCCAGCGCTGACAGTTTCACTTTCTACGGCGGGACGCGCACGGTGAGTTGACGATGACCGGGCTTTCTAGCGACATACGGCTATGGAAACTCGCCGGAAAAGCCACTGGCAAAAACTTGGAGTTACGTTTTCGCGCCAAATTGTAGGAGATGTCATTGAATCGTGAAGGCTGCCATCCACTCTGCCATTGTGCTCAGTAATTTACCAAAGTTTGTTTTAGAAAGTGTAAGTGCAGTAGACGTGAATGTGACCATTACATACATTAGCTATTTAGTGCAAATTTGCTGAATAAAACGTGTGTAATTCTGCATGTTAGTAGACACTGTCTAGAGAGACGATTGACAGTCGACAATTTTATATAAACAAAATAATTCGAAATATTTCAAGTATGTTATACACAACGCTACATTCTGATCAGACAAGACAATTTTACTCCCGGGATCAATTTTCAGCAGACCCTCTCGTTGAAAGCACATAACCCTACGGCGTTAGAATCTCAAATTGGCCGTTTTCAGAATTCAGCCACTACTAAACAATAGAATATCCTAAATCGAATCCAGATTAGACGATTTAGTTCCAACGGGACACTCTACCCTTATCCCAAACAGGTAAAGGTCATCCTATCCTAAAAGTCAGAGCCACTATTAGCCAAATTAAAATGTAACGCCTTCAAAAACTCGAACCATTCGATTACCTAACACCTTACGCGATAGCTTGACTCTTTGAAAGCTTCATAACACGTGCACCTAACTAATGAAGTATCAGTTCGATGACCCCTCTCGAATCAAAAGCGAGCCAACCTTGAGCATGGCGCATAGAGCATACTCCATCGCCGCGCGCCCATCAATCTGCAGGCTGTCCACGCGCGCTTTCGCTTTCAAACACGTACTTACATAATGCACATACGCATCCCAACAAAAGAACGACCGATTCGCGCTTTGCGAAAGCTGGACCCAATTTTGTGATGCAAGAGGTAAAGTTTTCAGGTTGAAAGAAAAGCCTCGACATACCAACAGGCCAGCCCTTTTAAGTCATTAGTCCAGTAGTAGAGTAGTAGAGACTTGCTGAAAAGTGATTTGTGTCAAAATCTCCTGGCCGCAAAAATCGTAAAAGGAAATTATCAAAAACTGATTATTAAATTGAAAAATACATAATGCTATGGGATACCGAGTCAATTCAATTAATTCACATCGTATAAAAGACTTCGACAGACATAAATATTTTTTTATAATCACTGTATAAAAACTAGGTACAGTCGGAGAATGAAAAGGTTCGTCACCTTAGTGTCGGTTTTCGCTTGCACTAGGTACTGTAAGAGTCAAACCTGCCAACATAACAGTGCAAGAAACAGTGCTGCTAACATTTAAATAAATATGACGTTTGCTAACGAATAACGTTTTGCTTGTTTATTTTTCTATCCCATCATAGTCCAGTCATTACGTACATTCAAAAAAGAAAATGAATTTGCGCTTCTAATTTTTTAATATGTTGTAGGGGATACCTAGAAAAGCTTAACTTGAGATTGTCGACCAAGCTTTCCTAGGAGCTTTCGCCGCCATGTTGAAAAAAGGGGTAAAATTTGTTTTTCGGCAATAACTCGGCTATCCGATGAGACTCGAAAATTTTTGTAGGACACTTTTTGTAGCTTTTTTTGTGCTCTACAATAACGCCCGAACCATTTTTAGCGTATCATGCATCGTTATCGAGATATCGATCGATAAAGTCAAAAATTTTGGACACAAATTATTTCGGAATAATTAAATAATTAACGTCAGATACGTACAACATAACTTCGAAGGAAAGGTTGCAATCATATTCGATGGTTATCCGACTGATATGACACTCGCTGGAACGAAAACTTCGGAAAGAGTTCGACGTTCGAGAAAAAACCAATCGCCGGAGTTCACATTCGATGAGACAACTACTCCAAAAGTTAGCCAGGAGAAGTTTCTCACAAGGGATCAAAACAAGAACCAACTAATACAAATGCTTTGCCGTTACTTAAAAAAAAGTAATTAAAAAGTAATTAAAAGTAATTAAATTTTACTTTTTACTTTTTAATTAATTATTTAATTATTTCGGAATTTTTCATATTTATTAAGACCCAAAGAAAAAAAAAGAAAAAAACAAAAATTGTGTCCAAAATTTTTGACTTTATCGATCGATATCTCGATAACGATGCATGATACGCTAAAAAAGGGAGCTTCTATGCCTGAATTTAGAAATGTATTGCACAAGTGGCTGCTCGATAAATGTTTCTACTCTGTAAATGAGTTTTTTTAGAATTAAATAATTGTGAAATTTTATGCATTAATATTGGTTGTGTGTTATTTTATGTAATTGACATTTAATTGTAATGATTAGTATAATTGGATTGTTGACATTGTTATGATTTTATCAAATGACTTTTCATAAGATTATTAATATTTTGACATGTTCTCCTAATTAACTTTCACATGCCAGTCATGGCAAGGTACACTGTAACGAAATTGATTATTTACAAACATCTAATGGACGTGTATTTCTGTGAATAAATGAATTTGAATTTGAAAATTTGAATTTAAAAAAGACTGTTTAAGACAAAAGAAACGGGAGGGAAAGGATTAGGTAGAAGAAAAAGGATAAGGTATTCTGAAATGGGTCGTTCAGATGATCGAACCCATTAATAAATCGCCTTTATGTGTCTCTAGCATCTAATGATGCAAATCGGCATCTAAAGGTACCACTAATGAGTGTTGCACCATCCAACTAAACGGTGACATGTGCGCACGACAATCGAACGTTGCAACAACACGGTGCAATTGAGCAACTAGATGAATTTCTCGTGTGAATTAGATCAGTGCATTATGCGCAAGCACAGGGCGATAAATTGGAAAGATACCGAAAGGCAAGCTGCGTGATACACACCGTATCCTCTTTGTATAATCTCTAAACTAGATTATGCTTAAAGGTGCTGAAATGCAAGAAATACCCCAAATTCAGTGGGTCTCAAGTATAAATCCTGGTCGTCATCAAGTTCGAAAAAAATCTTTGTATAAGCCTGAGTGTCAGTAGATTGGTGGTCGAGTAGATGATAATTAATTTGATAATTACAATAAGTAATTAATTCTCGTTGTACAATTTTAACTTATTGTTTACTAAGCCAATTATAGCAATGTTTTACTGACACGCGACATTTCCCGGCTTAGTTAAGTTTAATATTCACATAATAAGAATCTGTTTTTTATTGAGTATAATCAATTTAACTCATGACGCAACTGCATACAACTATACAAGAAAGGAATTCGTTGATATCTAATCATCGTGACTTGGTGTCACGATGCTAAGCTAGTGAATATTACCTACCGTACTTATTACGAACCTTGGAAAAATTCAAAATAAACGATTGTCTATGACACCTTTAACTCCTAACATGTCGTTGGAAATAAGATTCATATCTTCTGTATTTAGTAATATCCACAAAGCCAATGAACAACTGAATGAAAGACAATCTCTTTGCCAGAAAAAATCAACAAATCGTTAATTTGAAAAAATACGTTGTATTGCAATAAAGATCTCGTTTGTCGACAACTCAGGCGATTCAAACCTTACAGTTAAGCACGCGCCGCGGTCACGATCGGAGGAATTGCTCCATCCGGCTTATTTGTAATAAAATCGTAAATAAACGTTCATTAAGTCTTGTAAACGCTTACATACGTTCCAGTTTCATTATTAGCAATATTATTACTTACTCCGGGATTATAATTAAAGCCAGCTGAACGTATTTCTATGATAAAATATGGTTAAAGTGTTGTTTCTCATGTTACCACCGACCAACGAATCCGGTTCAGTTCAGTAAAAACCGTTAAAATTTGTTTTAACAGCAGTTTTCACTTTAACAAAAAGATGATCTACTAACATTTAATAGAGGTCGTCGGTCAGAATCACAGTTATTATGCCCCATAAAGATAATTGATATTCGCGTAATGAAATAACCACGCACAGTTCGCATAAACAATCACTTCACTTTCATATCATGGACATAAAAGATCATCAGCGTTAAGCGAGTGCTTAGATTTCTATCTTGTAGAATGAATATGAATTAAACATAACAACATAAGAGCATGTCTGTAGCGCTTATTTTGTGCGATTATTGTCTTTTCCGCAATACCGTTATGACTTTTATGCAATAGGTTATTGCCAAAAATAAGATTAAAATTACTGTAGATTTTATCTTCTAGGTATTTGATTCTCACGATTTTCTGGTAATTATTTAAAATCTTCGCTCTTCACAATGAAGTTTATGGTTTGTTGAACAGCTCATTTTAAAATCTACTAAAGCCTAATTCAAATCAAATCAAAAATATTTTATTCAATTTTTACCACTAATAGCACTTATGAACGTCAAAATACAGTAAAAAAAGAAAAAGCTCATTAGCTCTATATTCATGTAGATAACTAAAATTTTGTATTTTTTTTTAATTAAACATGGGGAAAATGATGTTGTTTTACTTGATTTTAGATTTATGAACTCTACTAAGGGCTGATTTTTCAATCCTCAGATAACTTTTATCTGAAGAATAAGTTTGGCACATTGACAGTTCCAGTATGGGAAATATGTCAAAATGACAATTTTATTCTTCAGTTAAAAGTTATCCGACGATTGAAAAATCAGCCCTAAATGGAATTCGAATGTTTTAGTAAAATATGGCCTAATTGGTCTATGACCTACTCTCATTCACTCTATTTTTTTACTCTAGAAGGGCATATGGAAATAATAGTCCAGTACATAATAGGTTTCATTCTAATCAGTGGTTAAAAAAATGGCCAGAAATGTTTTCATTTTACACACTTATCTAAGTGGGTCAAACAAAAACCTTCCATTGTTTTTATTCATCGATAACATCGGCACTAAAACGCGTACCTTTAACATCAGTTTCAAAACGTTTAACTACACAATAAAACCTGTGCCTGAATTACTCTGATGGATGTGTTACGCAAGCAATGTTAACACATGCTTTGGGCACACGACTGCGATCGGTACAATACATAATTAGACGCCT